AGGCACTTTTTTTTTTTTTTTTTTTTTTTTTGAAGTACGCCATATTCTTCTCCCGTCTATCTCATCTTCTTTGCCAGCAGGCATCTATCTCTTCCTCTCGCTAGTCTATGTATAGTACACGGGGAAACACTAACCAACCACAAATTTGAAAACATCTGACGGGATGTATCTGACGGTAAATAGCGGTAGACCTGGATGAATCTGACCGTAATCACGTCCAGAGCTCAATAGAAAAGGTCCTATATGAGTATGCCCCTTAAGTCCTGGGAAGACCCGACCGCACCCGAGGTGCGAACGTAGCGAATAGCCATCAATGCCGTTGTCGTCCGCTGGGCATCGAACCAGAGAGCATAGTTTAGTTAGTGGGGATGGATGTCACCATTACCAACGCTGAATAGCCATGAAGGGGCGTCGCTCCACTACTCGTGCAAAACGAGAGTGAATCTTCTGCTAGAACATGGGCAGATACACCACCATGATTTTTTGTCTTTTGTGCATTTCGAGAGTAGTGGAGCGAGGCCCAATGAATTGCCGTCGTAATCGGCTGGGCGTCAGACCAGAGACCGGGGGCCAGGTCCCACTTACCCGAATTCTCAACTTCTGACCGTAGATTACCAAGATGCACGGCCAGAAATGAAGAATCAGCTTAAGTGGGACATGGCTCCGGGGGCTAAGTCCCACTTACACGAATCAAGCCATATTGACCGTGGATAGCAGAGATCAACGGCCAGAATCTCTTAATCCGTGCAAGTGGGACCTTGCCCCGGGACCCCGTACCGGTACCGGGTATATCCCCTTCCGCGGCGTAGGAATATAATTACTATGCCTGCATGAGGAATATAATTACTATGCCTGCATGGACTCGTTTGAAGCTCCCGCCCTTACCATTAAAAAATAATAATAATAAAAATAATAATTAATAATTAATGAAAATGTACATAACATAAAATCGAGCCGCGGGCTCGATCTTCCGTAGCGATCACGCCCCCCTCGTTTTGACGTCTTTTGGCGGGATAAACTGATGGGTCAATAAAGTGACCGGAAACCTCGGCCCACTACACAGCGTCGCATTTAGTTGCGACAGCTTCGCGACTCCAAGGAGTGGTGGATTGAGATAATATCCAGCGGTCGTTAGTCCAGCACGCGGAGATGGCAGCTTTGGCGCCCAAACTGGGCGTTTTCATTGGCAAAACGCATGTCGGCGGACCACACGGCGAGGGCGGGGTGAGGGCGGGGCGTTTAGTTTAGTATCATTAAAAAAATGTCATAGCTAACTAAACGCCCTAATTCCTCATGGGTAGGATTTGCGGGCAGAATTGGCCTTCGCAT